TTTCCCCCACCCATTAAGTTGCATAAATATTTTGCCATATTCGTTATATTGCAAATGACATTTCTTGCTCATAGGCTTTTGACTTAATATTTCTTTTAATTATTCAATTTTTGACCTAGGCTAAAATAGAAAAGCCATATATGAAAGGTGTAGCAGTAGAAATAGGTATGTGAACATAGCAGTAAATTCTCTTAAGAAGCTAAGAGATCAAAGTAATTTATTTTTTTCAATTAATCAAGTGATAAGATAAAACCTATAATTAGTACCTGACCCTGAGTACTTTTTCTCATTAGTAGGGCTGAGAGGTGACAACGTGCTAGCAGCCCTTGCTCCCTCTGGGCGCCTCCTCGGCCTTGGTGTCCGCTCTGGCCACTGCGCTGTGGGGGCCCCTCTCGGGGGTTGGCCAAGGCTGGAGCTGGCTCCCTCTGCTCGCAGGGAGGTGTGGAGGGAGAGGCGCGGGCGGGAGCCGGGACTGTGCGCGGCGCTCGCTGACTGGCCGGCGTGGGTTCCGGGTGGGCATGGGCTCGGTGGTCTCCACACTGGGTGCGGCCGGCACCTGCTGGGCTTGATTGGAGGCTGGGTCCTGTGCGTGGACTGACATTCCCTCTTCGCCAGGTCGTTGGCCACGATGGCGGGTCTCTGTTTCTTTCTCGTTTCCCCTCTTTTCCTCTTGGTTGTCTGGGACGAGCTGCCTCCGGGCTGGGTGCCACAGGGTCCCGCTGCGCGTGCCAGTGAGAGGTTAAGCTCGCTGGGCTTCTGGGACAGTGAGGATTTGGAGAACTTTTCTGTCTAGCTAAAGAATTGTAAATGCACCAATAAGCACTCTGTGTCTAACTGAAGGTTTGTAAATGCACCAATCAACACTCAGTGTCTAGCTAATCTGGTGGGGACTTGGATAACTTTTGTGTCTAGCTAAAGGATTTTAAACGCACCAATCAGCACTCTGTGTCTAGCTAAAGGATTGTAAACGGACCAATCAGTACTCTGTCAAAATGGACCAATCAGCCCTCTGGAAAATGGACCTATCAGCAGGATGTGGGTGGGGCCAGATGAGGGAATAAAAATAGGCCACAGGCGCCAGCCGCGGCAACTCACTTGGGTCACTTTCCACTCTTAAGTCTTGCTGCTGCTCACCTTTTGGGTGCATTTATGAGCTGTAACACTCACCACGAAGGTCTGCAGCTTTCCTCCTGAAGCCAGCGAGACCACAAACCCACCGGGAGGAACGAACAACCCTGGACTTGCCACCTTTATGAGCTGTAACACTCACGGTGAAGGTCTGCAGCTTCACTCCTGAAGTCAGTGACACCAGGGACCCACCGGAAGGAACGAACAGCTCCAGACGTGCCTCCTTTATGAGCTGTAACACTCACTGTGAAAGGTCTGCAGCTTCACTCCCAAAGTCAGTGAGACCATGAACCCACCAGAAGGAAGAAACTCCACACACGACTGAACATCAGAAGGAACAAACTCCAGACACACCATCTTTCAGAACTGTAACACTGACCACGAGGGTCCGTGGCTTCATTCTTGAAGTCAGCGAGACCAAGAACCCACCAATTCCAGACACAGGGCCATTTCAGCTTTTACCAAGGAATTTATGTTTAAAATAGTCTCTTTACTGGAATGTGTAGGTGGTACTTTGGGTTGAAAATCAGCTAGATTTGAAGTTGGATGTATAAATATAACCTTACTGACAGAGGTTATCACTGAAATATTTAAACTTGTTTTCTGGTTATAAAAGTAACTCACTTCTATGTGGAATAGTATTTCTCAGCCTTGTTTTCATTATCATCCCCTTAAGAAATCTTTGCAGACATTATTTTTTCGATCACCTCCCTCTTCCCACTTTATAAAATTAAGTGCCATGGGATAAGATTTTATTAGGTAAGGTTGAGTTTTGAAGAACCACACACCATCATAGTATTTAAGATTTTTTTCATCATTCAAGAGTCAATTTTGCTCCCTTGTGGGCAGTATCAGTTCCATCAAGAAAGCATGGCATTAATTCAAATGATATAGAAAAACATAGAGGAAAAAGCAGCCAAGACAACTCTTTCACATCTCTTATTTAGACCCTTCTATGTATTATTACAGAGATGTATATAGTTTAAAAATTTTTAATGAATATGATAATTTTATATATACAGTATGTCTAGCTATTTTCACTAAGGTATCATAGAGGCCTTGTCAGTTAATCTAGAATCTGTTAACATCTAGATCTATATCATGCTTTTTAATGGCTATGATATTCTATTATGTAGAATCTATACTACAGATATTCTTTTCTATAGAACTTATACTAAAGATACATAAGTTAGCCAGGCATAGTGGTGACCCAAACACATGTGGGTATTTAGATTGCTTACATTTTTTCCTACATGACTTTTTCATATATGATTTTTTTACTCTGACTTTTGTAGGTGATTATTTCATATAGAAAAAAATATTTTTCTGTCTATTCTGTGATAAATTTAAGTGTATCCTTTAACATTTTCTCCTACCTAATGATATGTATCTTAGCACAAATTCCTGTGCACAGAAGCAAGGGTCTGCATGTTTAAAATTGGTAAATGTTGCTAACTGCATCCAAAGAGTTCGCCCATTTATATTCCCCTTCGATAAAGTAGAAATATATGTGGTTTTTCTCACACCTTGCCAAAGCTTATCATTTATCCTCTCTCAGAGTGCAATGGTGTAGAGCAAAAATGAAAATGAAGTTAGTCTTTTTTTCTTTTCTTTTCTCTCTTTCCTTTTTTTTTTTTTTTTTTTTGGAGAGACAGGGTCAGGCTCTGTTACCCAGGCTGGAGTGCAGGGGTTCAATCCTTCGCCTCCCAGAGTCAGGGGATCCTCCCACTTCGGCCTGTTGAGCAGCTGGGACTACAAGCATATTCCATCACACTCAGCTACTTTTTGTATTTTTTGTAGAGATGGGGTTATACCACATTGCCCAGGCTGGTCTTGAGTGCCTGAGCTCAAGCAGTACTCCCACGTAGACCTCCCAAGTGTTGGGATTACAGGCATAAACCATCAACAACTGGCCTGAAGTTAGTCTTTTTTAAAAAAATTTACTACTGGCAGAGTTAAAGTGGTTCTTTTTTTTTTTCTTTCTCTCTTCTGCATCCCTCCTCCATCTCCCCCATTTTTTTATTGGTCTGTTCATCTGGAACAATCTTTGCCTATCACCTTTCTAATGTGCTGCAGATCCATTCCTGAGTTTATCACTTGTGCTTCAGCCTTATTTATGAAATATTATATAGATGTGATTTCGAAGTGTAATCAGTCTCTTTGATTTCTGGGTTTTGTCTGACTATTCCAGTCCCAAGAATATAAAAACAGTCTATGATTTTTGTGGCATTTCTTATGTATAGCACTTTAAATAGAGTTTTTTTGTTTGCTTGCTTGCTTGCTTGTTTTGAGACAGAGCCTCACTCTGTCACCCAGGCTGGAGTGCAGTGGTGTGATCTCAGCTCACTGCAGCTTACGCCTCCTGGATTCCTGCCTCAGGCTGTCAAGTAGCTGGGATTACAGGTGCCCACCACTATGCCCAACTAATTTTTTGTATCTTTAGTAGAGATGGGGTTTCACCACGTTGGCCAGGCTGGTCTCGGAACTCCTGACCTCAGGTGATCTGCCCGCCTTGGCCTCCCAAAGTGCTGGGATTATAGGCATGAGCCACCATGCGTGACCTCTTTGAATAGATTTAAATACACGTTAATATATTCAGGGTCTGTTAGGTTAGTCTTTTCAGGTTAATCTAACTTTTCCCCCTTCTATTCATATTAAATATAGCACATAGAAATGGAATGTAGAGGTCTTAGTACCTATTTTAAATATTTCCCATGAAAATAGATATGGTTTGCAAGTTGTTACAGTTGTGTAAATTACAATATAAAACATATTGACTCAAATTTAGACATACTCTATTATACAAAATGTATTAATTTGAGCAAATATCAAGTCTTGACCTTTTTAATCATTCAGTAGATTTAACTTTTTTCCCAGCTTGGAATTCATTATGAAGATATTTGGACTCACATGTTGGATACTTGTTTTAAGATAAAAATAAATATTTTACCATGTTTATATCTTTTTAAATGTGCTATGTGTTTTTATGGAACAGACAAGAATAATTATTTTCAGAGAATTTCTTGTATCTTTTAATTGTGCCTAGAAGCGGTAATGACAAGACAACTGAATTTAGAAAGCAGGAACAGAAAAATAGGCCAGGCACCGTGGCTCACGTCTGTAATCCCATCCCTCTGGGAGGCGAAATCAGGTGGATCACAAGGTCAAGAGATAGAGACCATCCTGGCCAGCATGGTAAAACCCTGTCTCTACTGAAAACACAAAAATCAGCTGGGCATGGTGGCACGTACCTGTAGTCCCAGCCACTTGTGAGGCTGAGGCAGGAGAATCACTTGAACCTGGGATGCAGGTTGCAGCGAGCTGAGATCATGCCACTGCACTCCAGCCTAGCAACAGAGCGAGACCCTGTCTCAAAAAAAAGTAGGAAGAGAAAAATGGTAAGCTTACTGTAATAATAGTAATAAGCCCTGTAATTGTTACCTTAAGGGGGGAAAGTAAGCTTGGTATAGTACAAATATTAAATTATTGTGTTTGTGAAGGGTCAACTGCATACTATGCATTTTTTGTATCCTTTTAAAAAATTAGTATAAATACACCATGGAATACTGTGCAGCCATAAAAAGGAGTGAGTTCATGTCCTTTACAGGGACATGGATGAAGCTGGAAGCCGTCATTGTCAGCAAACTAACACAGGAACAGAAAACCAAACACTGTGTATTCTGACTCATAAGTGGAAGTTGAACAATGAGAACACATGGACACAAGGGGAACATCACACGAGGGGGCCTGTTGGGCTGGGGGGCAAGGGGACGGAGAGCATTAGAATAAATACCTAATGCATGAAGGGCTTGAAACCTAGATGACGGGTTGATAGGTGCAGCAACCCACCATGGCACATGTATACCTATGTAACCAACATGCACGTTATGCACATACATCCCAGAACTTCAAGTAAAATTTTAAAAAAGAGTATAAACAAGGGAAAAGAAATTTAAGCCCTATTTGGATTGAATTCTCAACTGTTTTTGTTTTTTGATCAACGTGTTAATTTTTCTTTTTTTTGGTTAACATATGTCCAGTCAGCAAGACCAGTGCTTCTCAAATGTCAAACTTTACATGTGTTTGAATTACCCGGGACTCTTGTTAAAATGCAGAATCTAGTTCAGTAGGTCTGGGAAGGACCTCAAACCCTTAATTTATAACAAGCTCCAAGGAGCAAGAAGCTACAGAAAAGGAGTTAATTGACTTTGTCTACATTTTGAATAAAACAAAATGGTAGTGCTTCTCCTCCAGTAAAACCTTATTATATAAGAATGAAAACAAAATAGATGCCTTTTGAATCTCCTAATACTTCTCACAAAATAATTTTTCCTTTTGCCAAAGCATTTACCAAAGAGTATCTAGCAAATTCTGTTAGTTTTAAATAAGAAATTAGATAAAATTCTAAAAGAATCCATAAAAATGAGGGGCTCTTGGTCTAGGTTAATGATGTTGGAAATGGAACCTGGACTTTAACTCTTTTGCCATGAGAGACTTACCATGTTTTCCTTTATGGTCCTTGCTTATAAGCATTTGCAGTATCCTTATCTGAATATTAAGAATAACAGCATGATTTGGAACCAGAAGGTCTGGGTTTGTGTGTCAGTTGTGCTGTGTAACCTTGGGCATGTGTCTATTTTTCTGAGCCTCATTTTCCTCATCTGCAAAAATGAAATCAATACAGTTGCCTTTCTAAGTTGATGTAAAGTTTAAACGGCGGTGCTATGCTTAATATACGCTCTTACTGATATGATTCTTCCCTTCTCTCACCCAAAGCATATGATGTCACATGGTATATGGAATAATGTTGGTTTTGTTGGTGGTGTTGGATGATGGATAAGAAGACCTAGAATTCTTTTAGGCCACTACCTTACTTAATATTAATCAGAACCCTAGCATTTCAGATCCAAAACGGTTAGTAAACTCTAATCTTACCACAACATAAAGATAATGCTATCTAAATTTTATGGAATAGCTTTTCTTTTTTCCTTAGTGCTCACAGAAATTATTCTCTGTAGACATCTTAAAGACTACTTGCTAACTGAGGAACAGCTACACAAAAATAACTACCCTAGGCCACACCCCAACAAACCAGGAAGTATTCTTTTAAACCCAGGCATGAAAAAAACTTGCAAATGGTGGTAAGTAGATGGGGCCCACAATTACCCTTTGTGCATGCTAAGACTGAAATCTAGGGGGCCCAGTGTTCTGATACATATATATATATTTTTTTTGTTTTAGTGGAAATGAGATTTTCTGGTCAGCATAGTTATACCACTGATGAAAACATTCTTGCATTGTATTTCATTTCCCTTTTCATTTCAATTATCTAAGTGCTTAATTTTATCTAAGTGATCTACTTTATTAAGTCCTCAAAACAACCATTTCAAGTCAATATTGTTATTCCCCTAATTACACAAATGAGGAAACTGATGTTCAGAGAAGTCAAAAGAAAATGAGTGGGAGCGCCAGGATTCGAAGGCAAGCTGCCCAGCTCCTGAGCTCCTACTCTTGGTCGCTATTCATTTACATATACAATGCCATGTTTTGAAAACTATATAAATTCTCACTGTGAATTATTATACAAAGATTTATAATTAGTCTTATTTTGCATGTTCTCCAAATACTAGGCATAATTAGTTAATGTGTTCATCCCCACTGAGAGAGAATGCTAAACATCACAGCTGTCAAACTTTAGGTTGATGATCAGAGTATGAAATGAAGTTATACAAATATTCTACAGTGACTAGAAAATATTTGTCATCTTCTGCATCTTTAGGACTTCTCCCTTGGGATTATCTTCACTATTAACTTTTCTCTTTTTATTTTTTTTTCACAGCCCCTCAATGGAAGGCAATACACTTAGCAGGTAAGAATATGAGCTCTGAAGGGGGAGATCAGGCTTCCTAAAGGCTGTTTTCTCAGTGAAGTGTTATTCAAGGTCTAGATGCTGGATAAGTCATTTAACCCCTCCTACCCTCTGTTTTCTCATTCTGAATAATGAGGATAATGGTAACTACCCCATCAGGTTGTTGTAAGAATCTGTTAAAATAATGCATATTGAGTGCTTGACACAGAGCCTGCCTCATAATCTAATCTCATCACGGGTACTCAAATAAGAGTTGCTGTTATCACCATTATTATCACTATCAGAACCAGTCTGAGGTTTATTAATAAAACAAATATTCATGAATGGGTCTAGTGAAAAACGCAGATATACTCTTAATAACTTAGCAAATGTGCTGATTATTGTGGGAGACTCTTGAAGGGATAAAATCATAAGGAAGACGTGGCTTCTATTTCAGGGAGCTATTTTGTACCAGAGTAGGTGACTGATCAAGTTGGTTACAGTCAAGTTGCAACACTAAAACTATAATTGTCTGGCATTGGGCTGACTCTGGAGGTAGGTGGGGGTTGGGGGGGGGGCGCCTGTTTAAGCAGCAGCAGCCCTGGGGCAATAGGCAGGCCACTTGCAAATTCTCCCTTGAGTGATCCTGTAACTGCTCCTGTTCCTCTGTAATCACACTGGGTACGTGCTTCCCACAGGATCAAGCACGCAAAGGCAAGTCTCCACATTGGCTCATCTACCTTGTCTCTCCCATCTCGTCTGGAAGAACCCCACTTCATGTTTTGCTTCAGCATCTAAGAAGATCTGTTGTCGATGTGGAAAAATATATAGTGTGACTCCCTCAGGCTGACACAGCAGGGTAGAAGAATGTAACTACCACGTTGGCCAAGTGTTGAATCATAAAGGCAAGTATTTGGTAGTTCTGTTTGGTTTGACAAGCCACTGCCACAGTTGTTCAGAAACAAGTGGGATGAAGTATTAAGTTCAATATGTTTGTTCAGTACAGTTCAATAAAGAAAAAACTGTATCAACTCTTAAACCTTTATTACAGATACCTACTTCTGACCCTACTTGTCTTACTCTTGCAGCTCATTGGCTCAAGAAGCCTCAGGCTATGACAATTTTTCTGCCTTTTTTTTTTTTTTTTTAAGACCTCAGGTCAATCAGCTGCCTCCTGACAGTTGCCCTTTCCACATGCCAGCGTTGCAGTAGTTTTTGTTTGTTTGCTAATTGCTTCAGTTCCTTGCAGGTGACCTTGCCTAATACTTTACTGAAAAAACAAAGCCTTTGGGAAATAATGCCCTGATCTTCCCTCCCAGTAGATTCACCAACATCTGCTCCTCTCTGGAGTCACGATGCAGGAAGCATCCCTGTTCCCGTCACAGTTCCTCTCCATGTGCTCTGCATCCTGTCCTCCTGCACCTACTCAGGGACTCACCAGACTCCCCTTCTCTATAAGATCAGCATGTTCTCAACATACCGTTCTGGTATCTCCCATTTGTTTTAGCAAACTAAACCTCCATGGTCCCAGGTCTCTTGCTGCATAGCTACTCTCATTTCTCCACCTGGTGCATTCACTTCCTGCACAACAAAGAGTTGTCTATGCCAGCTGGCTTTACTCCCTCCACTTACCACTGAAGCTCACATCAGTGACCTCGAGGCTGCTGGATCTGAGTCACTTTACTTATCTTTTCAGTACTGTCCTACCTTACAGTATTCTCCTCTCTCTGCTTCTGTAACAACACCCACTTCTGCCTTTCTTCCTCCCTTTCTAGCTACTTCCTTTCAACTTCCTCTGCTGAATATTCTTCCTCACCGGCCTCTAGTGGCAGAAATTCTCAGAGCTTGCTTCTGGGAGCCTTGTCTCCTCATCTACCCCTTCTCCCTAGATGAACTCATTCTTTCCCATGGCTTTCAACAGCCTCTCACTGCTGTTATCCCCTAAATGTGTATCTCTAAAGAAACATTTCCCCTGGACTCCCAGCTTTGCTGAATATCCATCTGCCTGCTTATGTGGGTTTCCTCGGGCACTGCAGCATCACCTGCATGAAGATGAGCTTGTGATCCTCTCCCCACCCTGGGGTCATCTCCAGCATCCCAAATTCCCTATAGTCCACTTAGGTGTATTTGGTCCCCTGCTTAACCAAAAAACCTGGTGTCATCCTCACTGCCTCCTTTTTACACACACTTTCATCTGGACAGTGTGCGAGTCCCACTGTTCTATGTTAAAAGCATATCCCAAAACTGCTGTTTCTCTGATCTGGCCCCTGCCCCCTCTTCCACCCTTTCCCTTGCTGTCTTTATACCACACTTTCTCCCACCTTTCTGGAGCCTTCTTGCCTGCCGCATCCTCAACTTTTCACATGAGTAGTTCCTTCTTAATCTGGAGGTCTCTGCTTAATTGTCACATCCTCAAGGACTTTTCCTGACTGTCCTTTCTAAATAGGGCGTCCCTCTTCTGCAGCACCCTGTCTCTTTCTTCCATAGCACTTAACTATATTTTGTAATGAGTTAGTAATCTGTCCACCGTCTTCAAAAAATGATAAGCTTCTGGAAGGACTGTCCAACATTTTTTCCCATTTCCCCCCAACACTTAGCATAGTTTCTGACACACTGGCCATCAATAAACATTTGGATGGGTGAACAGATATATTATTTATGTAGATGTGGATGTAACTATGGATAATATTGTAATAAATTCTGTGAAAAAGCAAAGGAAAGGAAATAGAGGGGAACCATAGGAGGAAAGATACATGAATAAATAATGTCGTAAAGTAAATCAGACAAGTTAAATCCACCTTTAAAGCATGGAGGGCTTAGTTTGGGAAAGTGAAAGACTGTGAATTCCAAGAAGAACAAGGAGGGAAGATGCTGAGGAAGAATAATTGTAGCAAATAAACGAGTTGGGCTGATGGGACCATACAGGACAATGAGCAGAACAGGGACTTTGGAGCCAGCAGAGCTGAGAGTTGAGATTGTTTTGCTGCTTACCTTCCTGGGCAAGTTACTTTTACACCCTGAGCTTTTCTTACCATGTTTGTAGAAAGGGCTTTGTATGGCAGTTTTTACTAGAAAAGCTAGTGCAAAAACCACTGGAGGCAATGGGACTTGTTAGAGAGCAATTAGGAGAATATTACCTAGGGCCAGATGGAAGGGCTAAGGGTGGGTAAAAGTATGGATGAGTTGGATGATGAGAATAGGGTAAGAAAAGAGATACAAAGGCTTGAGATTATTGCTGGGAAGAATGAACAAGGCGTCTGGCCAAGGATGCAAAAGCCAAAGGCATCAGTACTTGGAAGGTCCAACCAAGGTTGGAGCCAACATCTGTATTGTGGTCTCAGTCTGCATAACTGGGTGATTTTTCTTGAGTCAGATAAAAAAACTTGGATACAGGAATGGAGAAGGTGGTAGTTGGAGCTAGTCATTCAGAAGGTTCTAGCAGAAAGAAAAGGTCAGGGAGTAAGAGTAGATGTTGAGAGGACGATTGAAGTGGTTTGACTGTCAAACCAGTCAATGCAGGATAAAGTAAGGAAACCAGCGGGGAGCTGATGGACCAGGGCAAATTATAAAAGGAGGGGAAGAAAGGTGTTCACAACATTAGCAATTATAATTCACTTTCAAGCATGGCCCCTGAGAACTCTGCTTATCGGAATAGGTTTTTTTTTTTTTTCTATTAGGTAATATCTTAAAAAGTAACTGAAGAAAGGTAACTTAATACTTGCACAGTAGAGTCCTTAAAGATCTTTGAGGGTCAAAGAAAATGCGTGTTCATGAGTTAGTCACTCTGCCTCGTAAAGCTTGTTTTGATTTTAATTTTTTTTTGTTGGTTTACAGACCTCAGTGGCTTTGAATCTCGATACAGCTGTTGTGGAGGTTTTCTTGGATCTCCCCAGTGTCGAGTCGCCAAGGTAGGACTTGTCACCCTCAGTGCTGCCTGTTTCAGAAGCCAAGTTGTAGCCTCCAACACAGGCCTTGGTGATCGATAAGCATTTGAAAAAATTAACTAATTTTCAGTTGATGACATTTTATGAGCCTAATTGTACTTAGAAAAAACAGTAATTGATTTGCCAATGTTTGTTTCTGCTTCATGTTCATGACCAAAAAGAAAACCTAAAGGGCTTTGTGAAGACTTTTGTCAAGGTCCCACCTGCTGACGGTAATCAGTGTGTTTGCAGTAAGTTGTGAGGTGGTTTGTTAGTTTTATATTTTACTTTATTGTGGTAATTATGACTGAATGATTGTGTAGCAGTCTACCTGGTATAAGGGTTTCCAGGGCCTTATTCCTTGACACAGTGCTGCATTGGTTGTTCACAGATTTTCAGATGAAGCCATTAAAGCTGAGAAGAGTTAGTGAATTGGTTAAGTTCATGCACCTAGAGTGATGGAGCCCGGAACTGTCCTATGAGTGTCTTTTTATCAGTCAGATTTCTAAAATATATAAATAGTAGTAATTCTACTTATCAAATTGCTGAAATTATGCGAGTGAAAAACAGCATAAAAGCTTTAATACTTTTGGCAAAATCATTTATAGAGACAGTAAAATCTTTGTAGGGACATATGTTCCTTTATATAAGAATCAATGCTAAAAAGTGGGGAAGACAGAATTTGGAATTACAAGACCTGGAAAGTTCTACCAGCTGTGACCTTCTGAGCAAGTCTCTTAGATGCTGTAAGCTGTAAATTATGGAGTCAGTAACAACTCCATAGTGACTATGAAAATCAGATATGCTAAAATATAGGAAAGTGCTTTGTACATGTCAAATGTATGAATAATCATCTTTAACAACATTAAGTTTTTATTCCCCATTGTATATTTGGAAAGAAGATTTGTGGCATTTCCTTATACTAAAGGTAGAAGACAGTATTCCATTTTCCAGCTTAAGATCTTTTTATTATTGTTATACTTTAAATTCTGGGGTACATGTGCAGAACGTGCAGTTTTGTTACATAGGTATCTACGTGCCATGGTGGTTTGCTGCACCCGTCAACCTGTCACCTCCATGAAGTATTTCTCCTAATGTTATCCCTTCCCTAGCCCCCCACTGAGCAACAGGCCCCGATGTGTGTTTTTCCCCTCCCTATGTCCATGTGTTCTCATTGTTCAACTCCCACTTATGAGTGAGAACATGCGGTGTTTAGTTTTCTGTTCTTGTGATAGTTTGCTGAGAATGATGGTTTCCAGCTTCATCCATGTCCCTGCAAAGGATATGAACTCATCATTTATTATGGCTGCATAGTATTCCATGGTATACATGTGCCACATTTTCTTTATCTAGTCTATCATTGATGGATATTTGGGTTGGTTCCAAGTCTTTGCTATTGTGAATAGTGCCACAACAAACATAAGTGTGCATGTGTTTTTATAGTAGAATGATTTATAATCCTTTGGGTATATACCCAGTAATGGGATTGCTGGGGCAAATGGTATTTCTGGTTCTAGATCCTTGAGGAATTGCCACACTGTATTCCATAATGGTTGAACTAGTTTACACTCCCACCAACAGTGTGAAAGCATCCCTATTTCTCCACACCTTCTCCTTTTAATGATCACCATTCTAACTGGCGTGAGATGGTATGTCATTGTGGTTTTGATTTGCATTTCTCTAATGACCAGTGATGATGAGCGTTTTTTTCGTATGTCTGTTGGCTGCATAAATGTCCTCTTTTGAGAAGTCTCTGTCTAGATCCTTTACCCACTTTTTGATGGGGTTGTTGGGTTTTTTTCATGTAAATTTGTTGAAGTTCTTTGTAGATTCTGGATATTAGCCCTTTGTCAGATGGATAGATTGCAAAAATTTTCTCCATTCTATAGGTTGCCTTTTCATGCTGATGATAGTTTCTTTGGCTGTGCAGAAGCTCTTTAATCAGATCCCATTTGTCAATTTTGGCTTTTGTTGCCATTGCTTTTGGTGTTTTTGTCATGAAGTCTTTGCCCATGCCTATGTCCTCAATGGTACTGCCCAAGTTTTCTTCTAGGATTTTTATGGTCCTAGGTCTTACGTTTAAGTCTTTGATCCATCTGGAGCTGATTTTTGTATAAGGTGTAAGGAAGGGATCCAGTTTCAGTTTTCTGCATATGGCTAGTCAGTTTTCCCAATACCATTTATTTAATAGGGAATCTTTTCCCCATTGTTTGTTTGTGTCAGGTTTGTCAAAGATCAGATGGTTGTAGATGTGTGGTGTTATTCCTGAGGCCTCTGTCCTGTTCCATTGTTCTATATATCTGTTTTGGTACCAGTACCATGCTGTTTTTGTTACTGTAGCCTTGTAGTATAGTTTGAAGTCAGGTAGCATGATGCCTGCAGCTTTGCTCTTCTTGCCCAGGATTGTCTTGGCTATACAGGCTCTTTTTTGGTTCCATATGAACTTTAAAGTAGTTTTTTCCAATTCTGTGAAGAAAGTCAGTGGTAGCTTGATGGGGATAGCATTGAATCTGTGAATTACTTTGGGCAGTATGGCCATTTTCATGATACTGAGTCTTCCTATTCATGAGCATGGAATGTTTTTCCATTTGTTTGTATCCTCTCTTATTTCCTTAGGCAGTGGTTTGTAGTTCTCCTTGAAGAGGTCCTTCACATCCCTTGTAAGTTGTATTCCTAGGTATTTTATTCTCTTTGTAGCAGTTGTGAATGGGAGTTCACTCATGATTTGGCTCTCTGTCTGTTCTTGGTGTATAGAAATGCTTGTGATTTTTACACATTGATTTTCTATCCTGAGACTTTGCTGAAGTTGCATGTCAGCTTAAGGAGATTTGGGGCTGAGTCGATGGGGTTTTCTATATATACAATCATGTCATCTGCAAACAGAGACAATTTGACTTCCTCTCTTCCCATATGAATACACTTTATATCTTTCTCTTGCTGATTTCCCTGTCCAGAACTTTCAATACTGTGTTGAATAGGAGTGGTGAGAAAGGGCATCCTTGTCTTGTGTTGGTTTTTAAAGGGAATGCTTCCAGTTTTTGTTCTTTCAGTATGATGTTGGCTGTGGGTTTGTCATAAATAGCTCTTATTATTTTGAAATATGTCCCATCGATACCTAGTTTATTAAAAGCTTTTTGCATGAAGGAGTCTTGAATTTTGTCGAAGGCCTTTTCTGCATCTATTGAGATAATCATGTGGTTATTGTTGTTGGTTCTGTTTATATGATGGATTACATTTATTGATTTGCATATATTGAACCAGTCTTCCATCCCAGGGATGAAGCCAACTTGATCATGGTGGATAAGCTTTTTGGTGTGCTGTTGGATTTGGTTTGCCAGCATTTTATTGAGGATTTTTGCATCGATGTTCGTCAGGGATATTGACCTGAAATTTTCTTTTTTTGTTGTGTCTCTGCCAGGTTTGGGTATCAGATGATGCTGGCCTCATAAAATGAGTTAGGGAGGATTCCCTCTTTTTCTGTTGTTTGGAATAGTTTCAGAAGGAATGGTACCAGCTCCTCTTTGTACCTCCGGTAGAATCTGTCTGTGAATCCATCCGATCCTGGACTTTTTTTGATTTGTGGGCTGTAAATTACTTCCTCAATTTCAAAACTTGTTATTGGTCTATTCAGGAATTCAACTTCTTCCTGGTTTAGACTTGGGAGGGGGTATGTGTCCAGGAATGTATTCATTTCTTCTAGTTTTTTCAGTTTATTTGCGTAAAGGTATTTATAGTATTCTCTGATGGTAGTTTGTATTTCTGTGGGATCAGTGGTGATATCCCTTTTATCAACTTTTTTTTGGTCTATTTGATTCTTCTCTCTTTTTTATTAGTCTGGCTAACGGTCTATTTTTTGATCTTTTCAAAAAACCAACTCTTGGATTCATTGAATTTTTTTTGAAGATTTTTTTGTGTCTCTGTCTCCTTCCGTTCTGCTCTGATCTTAGTTATTTCTTGTCTTCTGCTAGCTTCTGAATTTGTTTGCTGTTGCTTCTCTAGTTCTTTTAATTGTGAAGCTAGGTTGTTGTTTTTAGATCTTTCCTGCTTGCTTTTGTGGGCATTTACTGCTATAAATTTCCCCCTACACACTGCTTTAAATGTGTCCCAGAGATTCTGGTATGTTGTATCTTTGTTCTCATTGGTTTCAAAGAACATCCTTATTTCTGCTTTCATTTCTTTATTTACCCAGTAGTCATTCAGGAGCAGGTTGTTCAGTTTCCATGTAGTTGTGCAGGTTTGAGTGAGTTTCTTAATCCTGAATTCTAATTTGATTGCTCTGTGGTCTGAGAGACTGTTTGTTATGATTTCTGTTCTTTTGCATTTGCTGAGGAATGTTTTACTTTCAATTATGTGATAGATTTTAGAATAAATGCAATGAGGTGCTGAGAAGAATGTATATTCTTTTGATATGGCATGGAGAGTTCTGTAGACGTCTATTAGGTCCACTTGTTCCAGAGCTGAGTTCAAGTTCTCAATATGCTTGTTAATTTTCTGTCTTGTTGATATAGTATTGATAATGGGGAGTTAGTCTCCCACTATTATTATGTGGGAATCTAAGTCTCTTTATAGATTTCTAAAAACTTGCTTTATGAATCTGGGTGCTCCTGTATTGGGTGCATGTACATTTAGGATAGTTAACTGTTCTTGTTGCATTGATCCCTTTACTATTATGCAATGCCCTTCTTTGCTTCTTTTGATCTTTGTTGGTTTAAAGTCCGTTTTATCAGAGACTAGGATTGCAATCCCTGCTTTTTTCTGCTTTCCATTTGCTTGATAACTATTCCTCCATACCTTTATTTTGAGCCTATGTGTGTCTTTGTATGTGAGATGGGTCTCCTGAATACAGCACACTGATGGGTCTTCACTCCTTATCTGATTTGCCAGTCTGTGTCTTTTAATTGTGGCATTTGGCCCATTTACATTTAAGGTTAATATTGTTACATATTAATTTGATCCTGTCATTTTGATGCTAGCTGGTTATTTTTCCCGTTAGTTGATGCAGTTTCTTTATAACATCAGTGGTCTTTAGAATTTGGTATGTTTTTTCAGTGGCCGGTACCAGTTGTGCCTTTCCATGTTTAATGCTTCCTTCAGGAGCTCTTGTAAGGCAGGCCTGGTGGTGGCAAAATCTCTCAGCATTTGCTTGTCTGTAAAGGATTTTATTTCTCCTTCGCTTATGAAGCTTAGTTCAGCTGGATATGAAATTCTGGGTTGAAAAATCTTCCCTTTAAGTATGTTGAATATTGGCCTCCACTCTCGTCTGGCTTGTAGGGTTTCTACAGAGAGATCCACTGTTAGTCTGATTGGTCTCCCTTTGTGGGTAACCCAACCTTTCTCCCTGACTGCCCTTAACATTATTTCTTTCATTTCAACCTTGCTGAATCTAACAATTATGTGTATTAGAGTTGTTCTTCCCGAGGAGTATCTCTGTGGTGTGGTCTCTGTATTTCCTCAATTTGAATGTTGACTTGTCTTGCTAGGTTGAGAAAGTTCTCCTGGATAATATCCCCATGAGTGTTTTCCAACTTGTTTCCATTCCTCTCATCACTTTCAGGTATACCAATCAAACATACATTTGGTCTTTTCACATAGTCCTATATTTCTTGGAGGCTTTGTTCATTTCTATTCACTCTTTTTTCTCTAATCTTGTCTTCTTACTTTATTTAATTGAGTTGATCTTCGATCTTTGATATCCTTTCTTCTGTGTGGTAGATTTGGCTATTGATACTTGTGTATGCTTCACAAAGTTCTCATACTGTGTTTTTTCAGCTCCATCAGGTCATTTATGTTCTTCTCTAAACTGGTTATTCTAGTTAGCAATTTGTCTAACCTTTTTTCAAGGTTCTTAGCTTCTTTGCATTGGGTTAGAACATGCTCCTTTTGCTCAGAGGAGTTTGTTATTACCCACAGTTTTGTTCCCTTGTTGGTGAGGAGTTGTGATTCTTTGGAAGAGAAGAGGCATTCTGGTTTTTGGAATTTTCAGCCTTTTGGCACTGGTTTCT